GTGTACTGTTCAGTACTCCACTGAATACTCCAGGAGGGACCCTTCGCAGGTTTCTGGAACTCTCTCTGTGCTACAATCTCCTCTTCACTGCTCTGTCCGGTGAACTGTAACTGCCTTGGTCTCTCTGGATTCTCAGCTCTGTCTCCTCAACTCAGGGAGTCTGCTGGTCTCTGTCTAGGTCCCCTGCCTCTGTGCCACGGCTTAGAAACTCAAGGCAGTGAGCTTGATCATAGGGCTCGCCTCATTTGTTTCTGTCTCTCAGGGATCACTGTTCTTTAGCTGCCTGATGTTCACTGTCTGAATTTTTGTTGTTTCAGGTGGGGTGGTAAATCCAGTCCCTGAAACTCTATCTTGGCCACAAGCAGACATTCCCAAGAATTCCTTTCAAACAGGTGAAAACGGAATATATTTAACAGCTTAGCTTTATTCCTTTTTTTTCCTTTGGCACGGCCAGCAGCATGGATGGTCCATTTCCTCTCTGAGCTATTACAATGTCTTCTAACTTGCCCTCCCTACCCAGACTTCCTCTCTTCCAACCCAGCCTACATAACAGCTGTGCAAATGCAACTCCTCCTTTAAACCAGATAACGCAAGTAACCATAAATCACCACAAAATGTGTGTGTGTGTGGTGCATGTGTAGGTACAGATATCCTGAGAACTGTAAATTTTATGTAACTATTTCTGTTCCAGTTTCCTTCTCCCTGATACTTGCTGAACTTTGTTGAAAACCACACTCAAATGCAGTGCAGGTGAGGACTGTAAAAAAATGGGTTTTCAACTCTTCAAATAGTACCTTTAAGATATGTGTATTTTACTGTACGTACACTTTTTCTTAAAAATAACTATACACAAATATTAAACTCTAACAATATGTACAGTAAAATATTTAGAGATGAAGTGGAATGATGTTGGCAATTTACTTTAAAATGCATAAAAATAATTTGTGGGTGGGTAGAGGGGTAGAGGAGCCCTGGCGGCACAGTGGTTAAGAGCTCGGCTGCTAATCAAAAGGTTGCCAGTTCGAATCCACCAACCCGCTCCTTGGAAATATGGGGCCATTCTACTCTGTCCCATTGGGTCGCTATGAGTCGGAATCGACAGCAACGGGTGTAGTTTTTTTTTTTTTTTTTTTTTTTAAGAGGGGTAGATAGGTGAATAGATATATGATCAAGCAAATACAGTAAAACATTATCGTAAACTTTAGGTGGTGGGTATAAGGGTGTTTACTGCACAATTATTTAAACTTTTCTTTATCTTTGAAAATTTTCATAACACAATGAAAGAGAAAAATCCTTTATAAAAAACAACAAAAGTGGGTTTTGATGTTAAACTGGATTTATCAAAACTCAGTGGGAGAGGCAGCTGTGAGGCCTAGGTGGGCTGCTAGCAAACCCTCAGGTGGCTTTCATTTCTTATAATAGAAAACACAAGTTCCACCTGGATTTAAAACAAGAGCACACAGTTGAGAGTATGAAATCGCGCCTTGCCTCGGTGAATCTTGGAGAGTTGCTGACTCTTTGTGCATCCCGGCTTCCTTCCCTGGTAAAATGACAATGACGGTATATATGTTCTAGAGTTGCCATTAGGGATGGGTAAGATCATCTCTGTAGAGGGCTCAGCACAGCGGGGCTTGTCCTACACCCTACTGCATCTTCACCACACCACCACCGTTTCACTGAGCTGAGCTAGTGGTGGGTCTAGATGATAGCTATTATGAAGGTTGGGGATGAGACAGTAGACTGCTCCAGGGTACCTTGCTCATCTGTAATGGGCCTGGAGGCTGTTACATGTTGCAGAGATAAACATCTCAGGGCACAAGGGATAAATGGGAGGGTGGGCCAGCAAGGGAAGTTAAAGGGCAAGATAGTGAAGAAAGACAGGGGCTGATGGCCATTCTTTGCTGGCACAGACAGCAACCCTGCTTAGCACTGGCCTGGCAAGCTGTGTGTCACCACTGCAGGAGTCCTGCGCTGGGAAACATTTAAACCAGTGCCTGGTTGACAATCTGGAAGGCACAGTCACCACCATTAGTATCAGTATGATGGCTGGATCAAGATTGGAAAAGTTCTTAGTAAATTAAGAAAATATTCAGGGTGGAAAAGGAAAACTGAAAGGTGATGCAAAAAGCCAACTGCAGAAGGACGGTATTAAAAAGATCTGTCTAGGCAACAATTCAACGAACAAGAGCTTGGTGATTTAGTTCATCACAAATGTAGTAAAAGCAATACTGAGGGCCAGCAGTGTCACCTAAGCTTAGGCCCTCCTGAAGAGAGATTGCTATCTAGACTGAGAGAAGGGATAGCTTTGCTGTGAAGTGCCTGGTTACATGACCAGTGGACCAGCACCAGGAAGGTGTGACCAAACAAGGTTGTTCACGGAGGAGTGAGGACCATGTCCAAGGAGGAGGACATGCTGCAAGCACGGTATTGGGAGATTCTCTGGAGTCCCAAAGGTTCCAGAATTGCTAGAGGATTCCCTTTTTATTTTTGTTGGACAAGTAGAAAATCAACAGAGGGATAAGGCTTGCAGCTTAAGGCCAACAGAGAAAGCTGTACAAATAGTCAAGTTTTATTTTGCTTCCTTCCCTGCCAGGGAGAATGACCTTTATATGAAAAAAAGATGAAATGAACAGTGGTGATAGAGAAATTGTTTTGGGGAGAGTAAAAAAAACTGTAAGAGAGCAGTGGGATTCTCTATGTAACCTTGTCTCCCAGCCTGGAACAATCAGATCCTAGGGCACTGCCAATCTCCCAAGTGAGCCAGCTGTGCAGCTGTTGGCTAACTTGGAAGAATACACACAGGACTGGTGATGGGAGATGGAGAGGGACAAAAAATTCCTCTGACTTTTCATAAGGGAAAGAAAGTGGCTGCTTCTAGAATGAGGTGGCTTCTTGGCAAGATTTATAATGATTATGAAATAGGTGAGTTATGAAGACATGGAGACCTAGTCGCGCAAGGCTACTAGTCTGGTGGGCCAAGGAAACATGGCAAAGGATGAGTTTTGTGTCCCTCCATTCTTCCAGTAAATAGTTATTGAATGCCTGCTGTGTGCCAGGAACTGTGCCAGGAGCTGAGGATATGATGGGGAGACTCACAGAGCTTATGGTGTGGTAGGCATTAAACACAAGTTACACTGATTGTTGTAGAAACAATGCTGTGATTTAGTATTATGAAGGAAAAGCTGTGTGATGGTCTAACAGTCTAGGGGGTTAAGGGAGGCTTTCTGAGGCTTTTTGGGGTGACTACAGGAACAGAACACAAAGGATGAGCAGGAGTCATCTGGCAAAGGGTAAGGAACAGCTTTTCAGGAACGGCAAGGGCATTTGAGAAGGCCCAGAGGGGTCATGGAGCCCTGGTGGTGCAGTGGTTAAGAGCTCAGGCTGCTAACCAAAAGTTTGGGAGTTCAAATCCACTGGCTGCTCCTTGGAAACCCTATGGGGCAGTTCTACTCCGTCCTATAGGGTCATTATGAGTTGGCATAAACTCAGTGGCAACAGGTTTTTTTTTTTTTGAGGGGTCATGACACAAGAGAGTCTCTTGTGACAGGCTTCTCTGTGTTCTGCTTGCAGCTGTAATGGGCAGAATGATCATAGTACAGGGTCTACAAAACCAGAACAGACCTGTGTGTACCTCGAAACTATTTCAACTTAACCAAAACAAAGCTTTACGTCATGAGCAACGTGAACCCAGCGTGATAGAACTTTTACGTATGATTAGTTTTCATGTTCTGACATAAATCACTATCCCCCAGTTATAAGGAACTTGGATCTCTCTTACACTTGTTAAGACACTTAGGCTTACAAACTGGATTTAAAAGAAGTTTCCTCCTGTCATGGATTGAATTGTGTCCCCCAGAAATATGTGTATCAATTTGGCTAGGCCATGATTCCCACTATTGTGTGATTGTCCACCATTTTGTCATCTGATGTGATTTTCCTATGTGTTGTAAATCTTACCTCTATGATGTTAATGAATTGGGATATGCGGCAGTTATGCTAATGAGGCAGGACTCAATCTACAAGACTGGATTGGTCTTGAGCCAATGTCTTTTGAGATATAAAAGGGAGAAGCAAGCAGAGAGACAGGGGGACCTCACATCACCAAGAAAGCAGTGCTTGGAGTAAAGCCTGCCCTTTGGACCAGGGGTTCTTGCACGGAGAAGCTCCTAGTCCAGGGGAAGATCGATGACAAGAAACTTCCTCCAAAGCTGACAGAGAAAGCCTTCTTCCCCTGGAGCTGACACCCTGAATTTGGACTTCTAGCCTACTAAACTGAGAGAATAAACTTCTGTTTGTTAAAGCCATCCACTTGTGGTATTTCTGTTACAGAAGCACTAGATGACTCCGGTTTTGGGCTGCATGGGCCTCTGTAGTGATAGTGTCACTTGTTAAATAATTCCCTACAGGCTCTTCTGACAAGGCCGGGTGTTACTGCACGCTGGTGGTTTGCATCAGTTCCTGCAGTGGGAAAACTGGCATCTGTGTGGGCACAGCAGGGAGCAGAGACTGGGTATGCCTCCAAGTCTGGCTGATAAGATGTCTGGGCTCAACAGTGGCAGTGACCTCCTTAAGGCCCAGAACAAGTGATTTACGATGTCTGTGCTCACTTGCCCATCTGTGCAATGGAAGCTGCAGCCTTCCCTTCCATGAGGGAGACTGAGTAAACGCTTGCTCTCCTACCCTCCTGGAAGGAAAGATATGACACACAAGGAAAATGTCTTGGGGACTTTTGTCACGCCCCTCTTTTTGAAAACTTTCTGAGGTCAACAACAAAATGTACCAAATCAGTTGCTGTTGAGTCAATTCTGACTCATGGCGATCCTCTGTGTGTCAGAGTAGAACTGTGCTTCATAGGGTTTTCAATGGCTGATTTTTCTGAAGTAGGTCATCAGGACTTTCTTCTGAGGTGCTACAGGGTGGACTCAAACCACCAACCTTTTGGTTAGTAGCTGAGCACATGAACCATTTGTACTACCCAGGGACTCCAACAACATGCATACCTCTCTCTTTTCTTGGCTGAGAACTCTCTGAGGGCACAGACAAGGCTTCATTCATCTTCCTCTCGTAAGTGGCTTCCACATGCCTGGATCCTGGCAGGCTTGCAGGCGATGCTTGCTGAGAGAATGGCAGGATATGTGGATATTTTTAATATAAACCAGGAATAAGAGGGCATTTGGTGTAAATTCCAGGCTCTCTGAAAGAATGCATTTGAAACAGCCCATCTAAGGCAGTCAGATGCCTACACTTTTACCTTGAATATGAATGTAGGGTGAAGTGGAAGAAAATCACACCCTGGGGGGGAAATCTGAAGGCTGCATTCAGGGGGAGTGAGTGGGTGTTGTACTGAAGAGGTAGCAGCAGACTTAGCTGAGCTGCAAATGCTCTTCTTTGGAGCTGGAGGAAAGACATATAGAACTAGAAATTTTTTTGACAACCACAAATACAACAGCAGAGAAATCATTTGCTTCACGCACTAGGAAGGCAAATGCATTTTCAGTTGTCTTGAAGAACGGCAAAGTCCTTTATAAGAGGAGTATCTCCTAGATGTCCCCGGGTTAAAGTAAAAGTACTCGGGTGCTAACTGAAAAGTTAGAGGTTTGGGTCCACCAAGAGGTGCCTCAGAAGAAAGCCATGGCGATCTACTTCTGAAAAATTAGCCATTGAAAACCCTTGAATCACAGTTCTACTCTGACACATGTAGGGTGGCCATGAGTTGGAACTAACTTGGAGACAACTGGTTTTACTGGTTATCCTGTAGACAAAAAAATCAACCCATAAAAATACTCCACTGATCCAGGATCCACGATGTTCTCCCAGCAACAACTGTCCTGAAGCCCTCACTGAACACCAAAGAGCAGAAGGGAAATCTACACATGTGAGCACCAACAGAGAGCCCAGCCCACCCATTAGCCTGTGTTGTTGTTGTCGGGTGCTGTCGAGTTGGTTCTGACTCATAGTGACCCTATGTACAATAGAACGAAACACCGCAAGGTCCTGTGCCATCCTCATGATCATTGTTATGCTTGAGCCCATTGTTGCAGTCACTGTGTCAATCCATCTCGTTGAGGGCCTTCCTCTTTCTCTCTGACCCTCTACTGTACCAAGCATGATGTCCTTCTTCACGAACTGGTCCCTCCTGATAACATGTCCAAAGTACATGAGACAAAGTCTTGCCATCCTCACTTCTAAGGAGCATTCTGGCTGTACTTCTTCCAAGACAGATGTGTTCATTCTTTTGGCAGTCAATGGTATATTCAATATTCTTTACCCACACCATAATTCAAAGGCATCAATTCTTCTTAGGTCTTCCTTATTCACTGTCCAGCTTTCATATGCATATGAGGCGACTGAAAACACCATGGCTTGGGTCAGGTGCACCTTAATCCTTAAAGTGATATCTATGCTTTTTAATATTTAAAGAGATCTTTTGCAGAGATTTGCCCCAGGCAATGCATTGTTTGATTTCCTGACTGCTGCTTCCATGGGTGTTGATTGTAGATCCAAGTAAAATGAAATTCTTGACAACTTCAATCTTTTCTCCATTTATTATAATGTTGTTTATTTGTCCAGTCGTGAGAATTTCTGTCTTCTTTATGTTGAGGTGTAATCCATACTGAAGGCTGTGGTCTTTGATCTTCATCAGTAAGCGCTTCAAGACCTCCTCACTTTCATCAAGCAAGGTTGTGTCATCTGCATATCACAGGTTGTTAATGAGTCTTCGTCCAATCCTGATGCCCTGTTCTTCCTCATATAGTCCAGCTTCTTGAATTATTTGTTCAGCATACAGATTGAATAAGTATGGTGAAAAGATACAACCCTGACACACACCTTTCCTGACTTTAAACCATGTAGTATCCCCTTGTTCTGTTCGAATGACTGCCTCTTGATCTATGTACAGGTTCCTCATGGGCACAATTAAATGTTTTGGAATTCTCATTCTTCACAAT